GCGATCGAAAGACAGCTAATCACTAGTCCGACATACCATAAAACCAACAACTACTTCTATCAGTAGATCAAAGTGTTTTGCAAACCATCACTGTTGCCCTGCTTCTACCAGCAGGAAAACTGGTGTGTAGGGAGGTGAACTGACCTTGCCTAAGGTTACAGAGCAGAGTCAAGAGAGAATCCCAGCCCGTGTCCAGTGCCACAAGCACTGTACCGTTTCCTCAAGCCAGACTCTGCTTTTTGATTTCCACTTAGTTCTGAGGAAATAAGGGGCCACTTTCATGTATCTTCCAAGTGCTGTTCACGTTAACAAAGTGGAGTGCACATTGACAGTGGCAGTGTATTCGGTCAAGCAGTAGACTTCAGCAGTTTCCAGTCTCACGGTTCCTATCTACATGTTCAACAGACACCAAAGGTATAGTTTTGTAATTCAGTTCCTACTGAAGACATGTCCATCCAAAATATAATGAATAAAACAAATTAATTGTTTCATTATTTAGACTTTCTTTAAAATTGTTTCCTGAACTTTCCAATCATATGTTGGTTTCTAACGCATGGCTGGAAATTCCAACCATCCTGTATAAGTTTTTTTACCAACAGCGTGTCTAACGCAGCAAATGGTCAAACTGCTCTATTTTCTTGATTTCTTGATTTGACACAGTCTAAATGTTACCCTAATCAGCATTTAGATTGGTGTTCACATTGACAGAGGAACAGCTAACCTACTACTCAGCCTCCTTTCATATAGGGCACTTCATATTTATTCAGACAACTGCAACCATGAATTCTACACCAAGGAGCCTGGATTACTGCACGCTATAATACTCTATGAACTGTAGTTATAATTAGGCGTCGCCTCCATTGTAATCCTATGGACGTCATCATGTGTTACCAGCATCTGTTGACAGATCTCATACCACGCATATCACTGAAATGGCAAGTCTGGAGAGGGCAGCCCACAATAGAAACAATGGCATTTATTTTTGGTTTGTTCCAAGACTGTCTCATAGAAAATATATGCTGCCAACTGCCAGGGCTCCACTGAGATCATTTTTCAATATTATATTACCAGTTTGAACAAGGATCTGTGCCCAGGTATCTACAGTCTTTTCTTCATAAATAAGGGAATAACACATGCACTTTCAGCAACTGTCACAGCACCATTTAAAAAAAAAAGGAAGCCTTCCAATTTTATAAAATCATCAGTCCCTTTATCATGAGAGTATTTATTTTTCATGTTATAACGAAATCAGACTCCTTTTCAAGACAAGGAAGGAGGATGCTCCTTCTTAGATATCATTTAAATATGGTATCACTTTAATATCAAAGATAAGTGCTGGGGACAGGCAACATAAAATTACAAAGCAAAAATCTCTTTATTCTATGCACGTAAGCTTTCATTTACCAGTGTGGAAACTGTTGACTTTCCACTGAAGCACTGTCTGTTTGGACGAATGGAAGCACAGAATTCGCCAGGGGGTCTTATACTAACTACTCCCCCTTCTGTAAAAATCAACAGATTTACTGTAACCTAAGAAAGCCTACAAAATCCCAACTGTCTGGATTATTTATCCATGTTCCAGGAAATTCCTTCCGATTGCTGACTATCTAGTTAGCTGCCCCTTACTCATTTCAACAACGCAGCATTCTCTGAAATGCTGAGCAATCATCCTACTCACTTTGTACCGAGAAACTGATTCATGCCAGGTATTCTCTCCTAAAGAACTAATGTAAATCTAGCTGATGTTTCCTGGAAGTACAAAAATTCTGTGCACAGAACTGACCTGTTAGGTTTAAAAATGCAGTTGGTTATGTAGTCATAGGCTTTTGTCTGCCTTAGACCTCTTTGAATTGTAAGCATAAGCTGTTACAGTTGAGTAGCTTCATATTACTAGTACCGAAATCATTCCCTTCCTCATTATAAAACATAAAAAATCATCTAAAAAGTACCAAACTAAGTAAATGCCAGCGTTGATGAGCACAATGTTATTACTCATTTAGAAGATGCAGCAGTAGATATATCAAGAAAGATAAACTTCAGCACAGCCCAGCACTTCTCATATTATACTTGAGCAACAGGGTGTGTGAACAGATGCAAATGATGGACAATTAAATGAGCAAAAGCAGGTAAAACTCACAGAAGGAGGAAGGCTACAAGCAAAACCTGAGAGGAGCATATTGGTTCCACTGATTTTAATGGAAAAGCAAACTCATTGGTCTCAGTGATTCTAACAGCTCTTAACTTTCAGTCGTAGCGAAGCTGTGACGGTAACAGTGGGCCAGACTCTATCTTCAGATATAATTCGGCAACTTCCACTTAAGGTTTTTGAGTGAGCTGATCAGCTACAGCAAAAAGCATATTTGACCTTATACTCTAGAGCGTTTTTTTTTCCCCATTCCCGCAACCAGCTGATAACCTTTTAATCCCAGCTCTGTCAGTTGTGACTTCAACGTCACCTTTTACATTAGGAAGTAACAAATACTTTACAATATTTCCTATCTCTCTCTTCCAAATGCTGCTTAAAACTCAGTGTTCTGAAATGAGACAATTTTTATTTTTTCACAATTTAGACGTGCCATATTGTCAATTACTACTGAAGTATCCAACCATTGACAAGATTGCTGATAGGATTACAATCTCTGGCTAGGTTCAGAAACAGAGCACGGCTAGTACCTGCTGGCACAACAGTTTTCTTATACCTAAAAGGCAGGAACTACTTTCTCTGCTCCGAGGAGTTTATAGAGCTGTTTCTTCCTAGACAGTGAATTGGCATCTGGGAACCTAGCTCATTAAATATAGTTTTTCAAGCCGTATATATTTCTAGGCAGTATTTTATTTGTCAGATGATTCAATCAGATATGACAGTAAATTCCAGTAAGAGCTGACTCACGGGATCACAATTTCAGCAGTGATATCTTAGTTTGCTCTCAGAAATATTGCATGCAGATTTTTCTGCACACCCATTGTGAACCATCTCATGCATCTTCCTGGTTACACTTGCAACTGACTGTCTTCTAAAAGCAATCAGGCACAGGCATCAATTCAGAGATTGCTTTTGGAAAATAAGACCCAGGAAGTGAAGTTAAAAATTACTGGAATCTCTATCAACAACTAACATATAAACGTAAAAGGACTGAGAGAATATTTCCAAAAACCATCTCCTGACTGTCACTGATTATAGTTTCATCTTACCTATAGGCTATCACTTAAGGATCCAAAAAGTGAGTGCTTTCTCCACAAGATGTAAGGACATAACTAAAAATGTATATATTATATACATATTTTATACAATGGATAATATAACTCTTGTAACATTAGAGAATCTGAACTCATTAGTGCACACGCCTGGCAAATCTTGATGCAGCATGGCACTAGAGCAGGACATAATTCCACAAAGAAGCACATATACAGACACACACATTACTTCATTTCCCGACCTTCCTTTGTTGTTTCTCCCATGCTGGGTCCAGGAGCAGGTCCCTGTCCCATTCCTCCTCTTGGGTCATGTACTCCTCTTCTTCATAGCTGTAGGTGTACTGCATGTTTGTTTCTATCTGATTCATGCTACCCAGGATCAGCTTCAATTGCTGTGGCTTTGACTACTTTTAAACTGTTGTTGTTAGTTTTTAGTTTAATTGCTGATGGGTTGGTAGCAGTTTGGTTTTTTTCTTTCTCTTTTTCTTTTTCCGAGGTGACAGGGTGTGAATATTGATGAGTCTCGCTGAGAGCACAGGCTGAAGCTGTCAGGTAGGAGCTGACCTGTGGTGACCTTCTCTCTCTCTCTTTCTCCCTCTCTTGCTGCTGCTGCTGCAGGTCCCTGTGGCTGAGTCTCCGGAGAAGCCCAACGCGGCTCATTGCTGCGGCTTATTATCCCCGCTGGGCCGTCACGTGGCACGACGCGGCTCCAGGCGCTGCGCTGCTCCTGTGCTGTGCAGCTAGGCTGTGTCCCAGGAGGGCAAGGCTGGCCGATGGCAGTCCCTTCCCCGGGGGGGGGGCTCTCTACCCAAAGCATTGTTCTCAGTTGTCTGTCTTTCCACCTTTCTTTTGAAGATCTCTCTTTTCTTCTACCTAGTTGTTATCTTTATTTCTTAAGAGCTGTCTATGATTTGCAAATGTTGTATTACGTTACTTAGCATAGTCTACAGTCTGTGGACCTTTGAGTCACTTCCCACTTTCTTTTTCTGATTAAGTATCACAAGAGCCAGTGCAGAAGATGGCACATGTGAGATGAAACAATTTACAAAGGAGATCAGGTTTGGAGTTAAACCAGGAAGTGGGAAGCACAACTTGGCAAAGCAACATCTTTTTCTTCCAGGAAACATGCTCAGTGCTTCACAAAAGCAGACACCAAGAAGCACGGGCAAAGGTGCGTGGAAGCATTAACTTTATAAATGTGTGAAAGGAACCATCCGTGTTTTCCGCTGGGTAAAATCTGAAGAGAGCACTGCGATCAAGCATACTGGCGAGCATATCCCTTATCTCCTGTGTCATACCGTTTCAGTTGTCCTGGCGACAGTATTTCTTCTGGGAATTGGCAAGATTATTATGCTCTTCATCTAGTCCGTCATTAATGCCTGCACAGTATCACCAGCCAAGGTCATCCTCTCTAGCAGTGTCCTTATTGGATACAGTTTGAACCTTACTTACAAAGAGAAAACGCTCACACAAGCTGAGCTTTTGGCAGTCGTGAAAGACAAACCCAAACAGAAGAGAACTGTACTGTGTGGGCAACTAAAGGTCTCTAAGCCAATGTGACTGAATAACCAGAATAAGTAACTGCTAGACAGCATATGCCTGAGCTTCATACTGCTAATTAAAGATCTGCTCTCTGCCAAGTTGCCTTCTATCCTATAACTCTATGCAGTATAGAAGAAAACACACATGGCACAGAGGATTCACATCCATCAGTTCAAAAAACTTCATTAATGCAACACTGTGGTTGCAAATTTCAACCTTAGAAGCATGTTTCACACAATGAAAGCAAGTTTAACTTCCTAAAATTGATGAATATGCTATAAGATAAACAGTCTAAAAATCAAAACCTAAGAAGCTATGTCAGAGCCACATGCTTTTCACCTACTCAATACAAATACTCTCAAAGTCGCTACAGCATTTCCATCCTTAAAGAGGCAAATGTTGATGAATGCTGTGCCTGGAATTTTTGTTCCAGTGCAAATGAGTACTACCTCAGGGAACTCTCAGCCCATGTCAAATAGTGATTACAAAGCAACATATTTCATATTTGTACATGATGTGTATGCTGATGTATTTTGTGGGGATTACTTTTACAGATGGGTAGCCATCTATGTTTTCTAATACATGTTCGATTTCAACCGCTTAAATGACTATTTAAGCCTTTGAAGTCAGTAACACAAATTTTTTTTTTTGTTCACTATAACGGCTCAGGAAAAGTAGGAAGAAGTCACAAAAGTCACAGAAGTATACACGTAAAGTGATGAGGGTCCGAACCAGAGCTGCCTCCTGTGTGAACAGCTGTCTTGCACTTACAGAGTGACAAACCTGGGACCTTGTATGCAGAAAGCAAGCCTAACAGCTGCTGCATTACAGGTGAGCCACTGCAACCAGCTTAGTGCTTTCCCTCAGCACTGCCTCCTCTGGTGACCGAAGTGGATGAAGCCACATGTCACTATGCCACTTGCCTCCGCGCAGCATAGATGAGCCTTACGCGTATTGATAGCTTCATACAGAGAAGTACCAGTGAGAAGACACACATTAATTGTTTGCTTTCTTCATATAACACAGGTCAGACTCCCTGTGCCATGGAATAGAAATCGAGGCATGACGATGACAAAGAGCATCTGATCACACTGTGGATTAGCACTGGAATCAGCTCCACATCTAGATTCCTGGCAATCAAAGGGAAATTGCTCCAGGTTTTCTAGAGTTCTGAAGTAAGGATATGAAGGTTTTTTTTAATAACTGAATTTACTGAAAACACAGCTAGCCACTACTGCAAATTTAGTGTACAATTTTTCATGTTTACTTGGTGCATAGGTAAACTTAGTACTTCAGTAACAAGAAAAATACGGAAAAAAACCGACTGTTATCATTGTTCTTAGGGAACCAACAGTTAGAACTGTAGGGAGAATGGGAAGACTGAGAGATCAAAAAATTTCAAGTTCCTTCCAAATCAGAGCAAATCCAAACCAAACAAACCCACATTTTTTCTATAAGGGAAAAGTATTTTAAACTTTGGTAGATCATGATAGTTCATTTTGGATGAAAACATACTTCAGAATGAAAAATCTAAACTTTTCATTCTGAAAATGTCAAAACAAGGAGCTTCAGTTTCGTCAGTGTGCTTGTTGAGAGAATCGGGCGCTTAAAATATCAAACAGCAATGTTTTGATTTTAACAGAACTGCCTGTTTTGACGTAATCCAACCTGTTTTAGGTTCTCTAACTGCTTACTTTTCCTTCATCAAAAAGCATGAGTAGGCAAGGGAGATATTTACAGATGGAGCTTTAGGAGGAGTATCTGGTATTTTGTTTACTACTTCTATTTAATTTTATAAACTAACTGTGCAGATGGTAATGAGAAGCACATCAATGGAGTTCTGTAGCAGAAAGACAGCCAGAACAGAATTCTGACACCAAATCTGAAGTGGAAAGGGAGCTGCCTCTTCCAGCCCACCTAGAGAAAAAGCAAGCTGTGCCCAGCACAGTAGCATGAAGAAAGCAGTCATGAACAGGCAGCAGCGTGCTTCGGCTGGCTTATTCCCACATCAGGTAGGTTAGGACTATCCCCACTAAAGCTGGCAGAGTCACACAGCATGTGTCCCTAAGGAGAAAGAAAATGAGATTAAACAAGAGAAATAAGTAAGCTGAGCGAGAAAGAAAGGACAATAGTCCTAGGTAGAGACACAAGAAGAAACACTGGGACCCTTACAGAAAAGGGATTTTGATCTGACATGGAAGGACACTGAGAGCCATTTCTGCCTGAGGCAGAAATGACACAGATTGCCTATAATGTGATAAAACAAAAAGAACATTCATGATTTCCACACAAATTAGAAGAAATAAGATGGCTCTGGGAGGTCAGAAATGGAGACAGCAGTGCTCAATTGTCAACTATTTTTATCTTTTATTTGGCAAGAGCTGTGCAGTTGTAGTTCATGCTAATACAAATGCTAGTACCAAATGCTTACCCAGAAGAATGACCTCACCCCAGGAGAACATTGTGGTGACAAGATACGATTTCCATTTTCCATGCAAAAGGAGCACCAAGTAGGCCAACATTCTCCTAAAAGGAGCAGCAGATCTGTGGGTGAACTCATTTAGTATTTCTTCATTTCAGTTCCAACTTATGAAGCTAATACTGCCTAAGCAAAAGCCTCTTGGCATGCTTTCCATTAAGCCCCTTGAAAGTCAAAGGGTTTTTCTAACTAAAGGAAGCACATTTTTCGCCTCCTGTGCTAGTCTGTGTCATTTTTTTAATGAAATGGAAATTGCTTCACACCATTTATTTTTAACACTCATTTGCTCCCCAAAAGCAGTCCTCTGTCATTCTCTCAAGAACTCCCTCCTCTTTATTTTCACTGTTTATCAGACTTTCAATCCCTTCAACCCTGTTCTTATTCTTTTCTCTCACAAAAACCTAGAATAAGGATTAAAAAAAAACCCTTTTAAATAAAGCTTCAAAAATGTTAAACATTGCAACAATATTCCCCTAGATGATTCTTTTATCTGAACTTAATCAGATTAGAATAAAGAATTGGCCAGATTTCTCTACTTAAATAATCATTTGTGAAACAATCAACTGCTGTGAAAATGATTAGTTTTTGGTTTTAACATTTCTGTGCAGGGGTACAATATCTTACTTCTGCCTGAACTGTTTCAGAAAGGTCACAAGAAGATGAGGAACCTTTAAGAGTTTGATAAATTGGCAAGTGAGTCTTTAAGGAATCATCTTGCAACAGGCACAGCCTGTTTCTCTAGGAAAAAGAACCGCAGGATGGTTTTTCAAGAGAGACGTCAATGAAATATAAAAGAAATTCAGTGTGATTGTTCTCTTGTGTAAACTGTTAACAGAATCTTAAAACAGGAATCAAAAAACCCTTCTCTTTTCAAAGCGTATCATAATTGCTGCTTATAATGTCCTTCTGCTTGTAGCAAATACAAAAAACCTAAAAAATTTAACCTATAGACATTCAAATTATTTGAAGACAACTTTGATCATTCAGATTGGGCCAGAACGTTGGATTCTGTTAAAAATGATGCATGAGTTACTCAAATCTCAGTAGAGGGGTCTGTATTACAAAATGTATTTTCTTTTTTATTAGAGTTTGAGAGAAATAAACATTCTTAATGTAATAAAAACAAAAAAGCTGCTTTCTTCAATGTAATAAACACAAATACACTATTTCGTAATTTCAGAAGAAAACAAAGAAATGAAATTCTGCATTCAAAGACGATGAATAAACGTTAAACTCGCTTCATATTCCTGAAGTGAACACACAGAAAAGGGAAAAGAGAAGGGAGAAGAGAAGCATACATCTGGGAACCAAAGCTCTGTTTCTGCCTGAGCTAAGCAAAAGTAGCACAGTGGGCACCGAGTGCATTAACCCTGCCACACCTAGCACCAAGGGACCCAAATTTTGACTCCAAAAAGTCCCCATTTTACTCATGTGTGCTGGTATTAGCTATAAAGAAGCTAAGCATACATTCTATTAGTCTCTTTAAAAAGCATGCTGTTTCAAATGACATGTTGGGAAACACAAATGGAAGAAGAGCTGAAAAATGCATTTGTGGCTTCATGATAACAACTGACATTGTCAGAAGCTCCCAAAGTGTTTCATCAGCTATATATAGAAACAACTTACTCTGCCCCTGAAATGCTGCCACGGATGAAGTGTAGCGAGAAACATTTATAGAACAAATACTACCAAAGCATAGTTTGAGCTTCAGGAGCACGGAGAAAATGATGACTGCACAACGATCACTGGGTTTTGCCAACTCTTTGAGAGGAAGGAAAATCACGGGGCTGAGACACTGTACAATCCAGACGGGCTAAGACACTCTATGTGACCTTTAATAAGTCACTTCAGGTGAAATTTTCCCAAAAAGCTAAAGAAAGCTAAAAGCTATTGTACTGCTCCCCATCCCAAAAAAAAACAGAAACAACTTTGCTGCGCTGCCACTCTTCCATCTCTAACGTAGCGTCAGCAATACTTCCTTTGGCCTTTTCTCTCTGAACGCTCTGATCAACCTGCAGAACAACTATAATTAGAGTGTACTCGACTTCCCCGCGCCCTCTCACAGGCCTGTGTGTAGCCTGTTCCCAAACATGCTCGGCAGCATGCTAGTTTGTCAGACTTGCTAAGGCATCGGGGTCCCTTGTGCTCTGGAGGAGAAGTCCCAGTCATTCCTAGAGCTACACTTGCAGCCAGCACAGCGGATGGTCCTGGTTCCCAGGGAGGCTTCATGGCAGATGTTAGCAGGAAACACGCTACATCTGGTCTCTGCCACAGCACCACTATGCAGTACTATGATACATAATAATAATCACAGTCTCCAGTGTGACTGCTGAAAGATGTAACATAGCAGAGGGAGAACCCTCTAGTGATGACTACTGCCAGACAGCATTACACAAGATCATGCCTTTCATGAATGAGAAGAGCCATCACCCCTTAGATTCTGATATATTTCTATCAAATATTCCAGAAGAAATGGTGACAGCTGAACTCCCATCTCACTTGAGCTAGCCTCTTGATGATGCCTCTTTTGTTTAATGGTTCTTGCCCGGGTAGTTGCAACTCACAAAGACAGATCATGAAGCAAACAACATCAGAAGCTTTGATAGATGCCTTGCATAGATTAGAAATGTGGTATCAAAGGAAAAACTGGTAGATGTATACGACAATTTATATACAACAGCACAGTCAAGTCTGTTAGCAGACTGGAGTTGTAGAGCAATATGCAGACAGTTACAATATAATACACATGGTAACAGGTGGGGAAACCACAAATAGTGCTGGCATAAGATTGGAAAAATGGTGAGACAGATCCAGGACTTTAAAAATGATTCAGTGATGAGAATGCAAGGGGCAGGACTAGGGGTACAGCATGGCCTATTACAAAGTTTCAGAAGAACCGTCATGTGCTCTCAGAATCCTGGCTGTTACTGTTTTATGTTAGCTCAGCCTTATTACACAAAAATTGTAAGCAAGCAAGAAATTGTGGGTCTAGTACAATGCTGAAGCCTGCAACTAACTACATAGTTTGTATTTCATGAATATTAGCAGTTAAAAAATCCCTTAGAGAGCCAGTATATGGCCCATAATCGATTTACCCCAGATTATTTTCTAAAAAAATGCACATTATTCAGGAACAGTTTGGGTCGCACTGAGAAAAGAGAACAGAGAGGTGGGCCAGATAATGAACGCATGGACAATATGTATTTCTCTATCTAGAAACACCATCAACTATGTCAGAATTTCCAGACAATAATTATCTATGGGACACAGACGAGACCTAACAGGTTTCAAATCACTGTGGCATGAGGTAGAGATTATGGGCACAGGATATGGGCACTGGAAATCAGACACTGCTGTGTTCTAAACTCAGCATTTGCACTGATTCACTGAATGACCTCAGACAAGTTGCAGTATCTCCGGCCTCATTTTTCCTTCCACATACACCAATGTAATTTCACTAATGTCAATGAGATTAAAGCAATATACTCAGGAAAGTAACTTGGTTGGATACATTGCCCATCTGTAAAAGTGAGTATCAACCGCTTCTTCGCTCTGCAGGAGTGATACAAAGATCAGGAAAAGGGGTAAATTCATCCCGGTATAAGGCAGTGTCAGGCTGAACCTGAATTACTGCCAAACAGGGATAAGGTTTTACATTCTTTTTTCAACCTGTACAGTGCAAATTTTCCTTTTCCAGAACTGTTGCTCTTATAGCTTGACCAACAAAGCTTTACTCTGACACTCAGTGGTATTAAGAATTAGCACTTAGAAAATGAGCAATGTTCCTGCCACGTCTGACATTTAAGCAACAGAGCCTGAATTTTCCAATTCTTCGTCTGAAGACGATCGCTCTCTGTCCATCTGGGATATCTCCCGCTAACTTTGGCCATATTCTTATCTTAGGAGCAACGGGTATCAGTTTTACACACCATATTTTCCAGTAAAAGAGTGGTGGCTCATAAAGTCATTACCAGCAATAAACCAGTCATGCTGATGGCTCTAGTACAGTCTCATTCCCTCCGGATGAGCCGGTTGGTTCCTGATGGGCTCACTTCTCTCCCTATACAAGTTTCATTTAGCATACGTGAAGGAGGAGATGAGAGTATTCCCACCTTTGTTCACTTTGAAGCCAATTTGTCCACAGGATAAATGCAGCAGAGCTGTTCTAATACGCAGTTTAGCCCTCTGCTGTGTCCTGGAGTTGAATCTGGAATAGCTGTAATCTTCCTGAATTTCATATTTGAACTGAATTCACAGCCTTTCACGTCCGATTTTGTTCTAGCTACTTTTCATAAATTCATATGGACAACAGTTACTGTGGGCTGAGTCAAGAACTAGGACAAAGGTGAGCCTATCCCTAGGCTGTAAGGTCCACATATATTTATAGTACACTCTGGAATTCATTTTTCAGCTGAGATAGTCTGAACACATCTTCTCCAGTCTCTTTTTCCCCTGATAAAAGTATTCAGCAGAAACCTTATTTTGCAGCTCAAACGGATGGATTGAAATGTATCTTGGACTCCTCTAGGGCAGACTACTGGGTCAGGAATGAGTTTCTGGAATACCAAGAGACTTTTTCATTCTTTCCCCATGGCTCAGCAGTCCCCTTGCACCTACTTCACGGGTTACCTTGCCACAAAGACAATCTATGGAGAATTAGGTTGATGGAGCAGGCCAGGCCCTGTAAATTCAGGCCCTGACTTTTTACTGCTTAAGGCACTAGTGGTGGAAGTAACATTCAGAAGAGTCATAGACTGCACTTTCAATTGCAGCAAAGAATGTCTAAAATAGTGTTGAAATGGCAATACCAGGCAAAAATAGGATTGTGCTGAGCCTGCTGGTAAAAAGAACGTCGGTAATTCTATACTGTAAAGCACTTTAGAGAAGAGAAAAAATTCCCTAGCATCAGCACTCATTACCCCAAAACCCACTGGATGAGGAAATGGAGCACGTGCTTTAGATTTCTTTCTGTAGACCAGGCATAGTGTTCATGCTGTGAAATATAAGGATATATGTGAAAATAAATTCCCAAATAGATCTGTAAGAACTCAAATACAAATACGGTGATAACCACAGCGGAAAATTAATAATATGTATTTGGGAACGAGTTTCAACAGCGTGCAACAAGTCTTATTGAATAAAAAAGAGAAATCATAATGCTGTAAAGCATAGTTTAGGCTATGCACTGAATACAGCATGCTTTCTGGAGAAAACGTAGCTTGTGACTAAGTAATTGAAGTCTGCGTGATGATACAAACAAAGTAGCTGAATTAAGGTTGTTTGGAAAACTAATTCTGGCATAGCCCACCATTAATTGACTTGTGACCTTGATGCTCTTGTAAGATATGGGTTTGTATATGACATTAATTATAGAGAAAATAAATTCCGAATTGGAAAATATTTCTACACAATGTTAAGGAGAGCAGTGAAGGTTTCCAGTGCAGCTTAACAGTTGCATAACCAAGGAACTGCCTCTGATGTTACTGGGTCTCTTACATGGCTTCTCAGCACCTGCAGAACAGCTGCTTAAGACACGGGCATACACAACAGATGCAGAGTGCCACAGGATAAGAAACGGACTAAAAAGAAACACTGACATAGACTTTCGGCAGTAAGCGTAATTAGCCGTTATCAAGAACATTTCAATTTGTCAAGACTGTTCTATGAAAGGCAGCATAGAGTCTTTAAATTATAGCAGGGCCACTATTTTAACTCTGAAAACATAGCACCTCCAGCAAAACAGCCTATCTGGAGATCTAGCCTTATCAGTAAAACTCAAGTGCATGCCCCCAGCACCTAAATCAAACACACTATTTCTTTTAGAAAATACTTTTTCCCCAAGAATCACCAAAGTACATAACAGCATGGACAGTTTCCAAGGTGCAATGAAAGCACATGCAAAAACCAAACATTTTTTAAAATCATACTGAAATACACAGAAAAGTTTCAACAGTTTTTTCCAGATATTTTGTATAATTCAGGATCAAAGAAATGCACTCTGTGACTTTTAGTATTACGTTAAGCATCACAGTTTTTCTCCCTATCATAGATATGATACACATACATATGTTTAAAAATCATATTTCATTTGTTCGCAGTGTTCACCTGAGACTGGGTCTCCAATGTGCTAGGCCTTACAGGAATGCACAAACTATTCCTACATAGACGTGTAAAATAAATCTTAGAAAGTGGACAGATAAAAGTATTTAACTGAATATAAACTAACAGAAAGAACACTAGCTATGTTTTCTCCTCTCCGCTACTGAATGTGGACCATACCATTTTCAGGCATTATCATTTGGAGCTGTGATCTCATTCTAGTTCAAATCATCCATTAACCAGGTACGGAAAAGGCATGTGGACAGACAGCAACTGAAGCAAATTAAGAAATGAGAAGTGGCACTGGCTTCAATGGCCAGCTTGGGAAAAAAGCTTAAATTTATATTTAGCACATCTAGATAGGAATTACACTATTTCTCTTTCAGGAAAAGAGCTGTTATTCATCTTAGCATTTCAAAAAAATCCCAGCAACTGGCTAGCTGACAAGTAAATAGAGGTTCAAACAGCTGCAGCTCAGGAACGGGCAGTTGTGCCCTATGAGATCTGCTATTCCATTGCCTGTAAGTTGCTTGAATAACAGAGGCAATTGAGGGAGCTGACTGCAAGACAGTATACTGCAGTAAGAAGAAACAGGCTGTGTTTAAAAGTATGTGCTTTATTGATCACTTTTTCCTTCTCCCCAGCCCTCAGCTTCTATATTTTCTCTTTCATCGTTTATAGCCCTGCTATGAAAGATGAGACATCTAGCACACAGCACTCTCCTTGTTGCTTATCACATCCAAGTCCCTAATGGCCACATTGCTACGCTCTGATTACAAAGTTCTCTAAACGCATTACACAACATGACTCACAACCACAACACAGCAGACCTATAACATCTACTCTCTCAGTAGTCTGTCTGGCACAGGTTTCTTTTCATAATAATAAATAGCTAGCTTATAGACACATTACCTTATTTCCCAGCCTAATAAATATCAAATCATAACAAAGGACTAAAATCACAGTAATCATGAAAGACATTTTCTTGTTTTTCATTCCAATAATTGTGCGGTCATTAAAATCCAACTTTCTTCTTGACTTTCTACAGCAATACGTAATAAACACTAAAAATATTCTACTCCATCACATAGCTCAGCAATGAAATGACTGCTTTTTTCTCGCATCTTCCACCATCTCCATTTGTCTTCCATATTCTCCCTGATGTTTTGGGGACAAACTAGACCTACACTGGGCGTGCACAAACGAAGAGTTACAAAGACAACCTTCGCCCACCCTTTTCAAGCCAATGCTTTTTCTGCATATACAGACCTAGCTTGTTTATGTGAGGTTGTCCAAAAGAAACATTTAAAAGTTTGTGTTACAATTATTTTGATTAAAAGACCTTAGTTTACAGTATCGTACCAGAAAGCCTTTAATACAGCAAAATCCCCGAAATAGCCTCCTTCCAGCCATCCAGAGGGTTTCTATTTATTATTAGATCAGGGAAATGTGATACTGTCCGCCACAGCGGTCAGTAATTTGATGATGTGCTAGATACTGCCTAGCAAGCAAGGTCCTTCCAGCCCTCCAGTTCAACCGAATAATTATTTTCCCTTCAGTCCTGTTCCAACCAGAACTGCAATTCTCTGTAACCTCAACCACCATCAAATTATGCTCGAGCGTTTCTGCCTCCTGTTACGTCAGCTTACACACTCATAAAACTTCACTGACCTCATCAGCGTGTCTCCTCAGTTTCACTGATGTAAGCACAAAAGGATTGAGTCTTGAGGGAAGGAGGGGTAGTTAGGGAAGACAAATTTTAACTCTCTAGTTTTACATATTTGCTTTCCTACATAATATAATAACTGCAGTCTCCTTGCTTCTACGAGCTGCCCAGGCAAGGGAATAATGGCCTCAAGGCCTTATCAAGGTATACGCTGCAGAAGGGTGCTGTCTGCATCATTTAACAGTGAAGTCCAGAAGCGAAGAGTAACTGCTGCATTGGCACAGAGAGCAGAAAGAACCGAAAACTGAGAAAGATACATTACTGCAGCCTTAAAGTAAAGAAAGCATTGGTCTTCTTCCTAAAAATGATGGTAAAGCTACAATTTCACGGACTACAGAACTCTTCTTATACATGATGAACTTCCAGTAGAGAGCAGAGAAGTGTATCAATTAAGAACAAAAGGACACAGATTAGCTCTGAGTACCAAATTTAACTGCACAGCTTCCAAAACTACAAAACGCTGGCGTGCCCACTGCAACCAAGAGCAAAACAAAATATATCTCTTGACAAGAAGTTTGCCTTGGCTTGCAAGCTGTTCAGTCCCCTCCTCTAGAACACAGATCGGTTGACAGCTCAGTTAGCATACATATAGTCACATTAAACACACAGATCTGTTAACACCTACTTTTGCTGAAAAAAAATTAGAGAACTTGATACACTCTAAAAAAAGTTACACTCTCCTCTGCATATCCTATAAACGTTTTAATATTACTTCATTACTTTGCGATCCGATCATATTTTAAGATGTCAGGCACATTCACTGTTAGCAACAGCATGGGGAAATGTCAGGGAACGTACCAAGATTATTAGTAAGTGATGGTGGAGCATGTGGAAGGTGGCCCTCTTCCTTCTGCTTCAGAACTGTTTTAACACTCCCAAATGATGGTGCATACACCAGGTTAAAGGAGGTAGTGCAAGAAAAAACAAGAAATAACATCTTAGCAAATAAACTTAAAAATTTTTGAGAGTTCTTAAGAGTATTTCAAACAAATACTCTGGTCAAGCGTATGACTTTGTATGTAAATAGTAAATTGTATATATAGGTAGCACTCAATCCCTTGCCTGCATTTTTATATATTGTAGTTGAATTCTATTGAGCAGTTCTTTTTTGAACCATTTCTGCTTTAGATGAACTTCCTTCCTGTCTGTTGCCTACATATTGAACCAAACAGAAGATGCATTCCACGAGCACACATAAGGGAATTCAGTCTACAGGACAGAACAAGAGCTAGTCCACCTAAAACCTCTCGAGAAACATACAGTGTGGACAAGGGTCCTCAGCACCACCTACTTTAGACTACGTACTTCATCCCACTAGGCTGCGTTACTTACTAATGCAGATATAGCTCTATATCTGCACAGCCAGTGAAATGAATTGGAAGGAAAGGAACTACATAGAAATGGTATTGGTTATATTTCCCCCAGGGGTAGCAACATCTTTCCATAGGTAATGAAAAGAGTAATCGAGTTTGCATTTCTCAACCAAATCTTTAACCATACCAACTCTCAGGGGTGACTAAGCTTACAAAAAAAATTTTGAAACAAAAAATTTTTTCAAATAAAAATCAGCACATGAAAACCTGTATTCTAAAACTCCAAGATTTTTTTTATCAGATTGAACTCAATCTGTCAAAAGCAGTTTAATAGCAACCAGGAGCAGAGGTGATCTTAGTCATGGTATAGCTACCAGTATTCTATCCACACAGACTAGCGACGCGGCACTGAGAAGCGCAATGGACTGGTCAAAACAAGCTTAAGTTCAAAAAAACGTTCAGAGTTTCTCTAGCATTCAGTGTGGGTCTCAGGAGCTTAACTCACATAAATACAAATTTGACCAAATCTCTGTGATATGAAGCCTAACAGTTGGGGAGTTACAAAGCCAAGTAACCGTATTTCCTCATAGTCTATTTTTATTTTTTTTCCCAGAATAAACTTTTCTGGAATTAGATCAAGGAAACAATTTTTTTTCTCTCTGCAGAAGGTGTCTCTGTTCCTCCAATTAACGTCCTTAAGGGAATCCTAGCTTGACTCTGAAACCAAATGAAGATGGAACAGAAAGCACAACGATATAAAACACCTGCCTTGCAGCCATCTATGGGAAAAACCTGAATACTTTTACAACTTCTAGTTTTTCTGGTTTTAACTAAGTATCTATAGTACAGTCCTTTTTTAGAAACGACTTCCTGTGCTTTGGAGAGTCTACATATTTTAATAATGTTTGGTATTTATAAACATAAAAGCATGCATATTTATACAGGTTTAAACTATCTTAAAAATAAGGTCACATGAAGGCTTCATAAAGGAAAAAGATGCACAGAAGCCACAGGGAATGTGAAAAAAGATCATAAATTGGCATCTCGATTTGCATCACCCCGGCCAGCTCATCTGCTAGATGATCAGAATCTCAATGTCAGAGCAATCAGAAAAATAACAGTAATCCCATAAATCAACAATAACCTACAAATACTTTAACACATAACCGTAGTGGTAACAACCCTTAACAGCTAAGCAGTTGCTGCAAATGTACACCCAGATAACACCATCTCAGAAGTAACACAACAATGCATTCTTAATACACTCTCTTTAACAAGGCACTGGTAAATATAGTCAGGCACAGTTACTTGTCCAGCTTCATTTCTTCTCTCGGATTCCACTCCTACAAAGGCTCACACATATTTAACTTAATATAAGCATACAGTCTTGCTGAAGTCAGTGGAACAACTCCTAATAGGTAATATTAAGGATTTAAATAATTCTCTGTAAGGCTGAATTTTTATCAGTTGTATGTCTAACGCCAAAATAAGGCAGCTTTACTAGGTAAACAAATTTGTTATTTGTGTCATACCTATATAGCTTCTCAACCACATATGAGAATAATTTTACAGATCTGATCCCAGAATTATTGTATTTGCTATCATTTTGTCCATCAGCTCACATTAATCGAAATCAGTTTTAGTTCTGCTTTTCTCCAGGCTTTTCCTGGATCGTCACAAGCCATGTTCCCTTTGTGCTGAGACTCCAACGCGCAGAGCAGTTTCTGCAGCCTCAAATGCAAAACACTGGGTGACATCATGCTTTTTAAGATTAGGAATCTCTCCTTAACCTCAGGGTAACGAAACCTCAGATCAGAGGTGCAAGGAGGCAGTGCAATTTCCATCCCTACAGATAATCAAAACACAACCGGACGAGGCTCTCGTGCCACAGTGTGCTCTAAGCTGACCTTGTTTTGAGGCTGGACCAGATGGCTTCCAGAGGACCTTTCCAACCTACGTTATTCTATGGTCCTGTAGCTGGAATACAGTCCGAGCACAGTACCGTAGCTTTCAAGACCTTCTGCTTACAGGATTCCTCTACCTTCCTTAGCATCATTGACTCCATATACAGCAAAAGCTTAAGGTGGAACAACTCAAGTTGCACATGCCCTTACTATTAAAACCGTATGTTGACCGTGTTTAGGTGATCCCCCCACCACTGAGCAGGATGCTGCTTTGCTGGGCTCAGCACAAAGCCACCAGTGCGCCCTACCACAGACGCGTCACTGAGGCTTCCCCCTCTACCTTTCGGCGCTGGGGCTGCTGCTGGGTTTCACACCCGGACTTGTCGCCAGGACCGGCCACTTGCTCAACACAAGCCGGCCGGCCCCCGCTTCGCACCGGCACAGAGC